TAAGCCACAGTGAAAACACTCTGGCAGAGGTGACTGCGAAAGTGATTTGGTGTGCAACGAGTAGATATGTGTAATAACTTGTTCTTTTGATTTGCTGGGAGATTTAAGAAAACATTTTTGAAAACTTTGTCTGGTCATGCAGCATGAGTAGGTTTGAAGGTGGGCTTGCTCTGGCATGTCGCTCTAGAATCAAGCAGTGGCCATGGTATACCACAGCCCTTTCTCAGAAACAAAAATTCGACACATTTCAGGAAATTTAGACTGAGTAGAGAACTCATTACAGGAAGAATGGAAGCATAAAAAAACTAAACTAATACTTCTGCAAGGCATTCCGGTGGCATTTCAGAGTATTTTGGAATGTCTTTTTACATCAAAGTATTTATTTATTTTTCAACACTTGCCATGGACTTCAGTCCTTAATAGCCTTAGTATATGTATTTCCCAGGAAGCATTAGCTGACATCAGAAAAAATTGACATTCTTTATTTGTATCATAAAAGGGTTTGCTAGAAATGTATTTCTTGCTCTTTGTGCCACCCTTCTTGGTTTCGTTTCTTCTGCCTCTTTTGTTGTACTTGTCTTTTTCACCTCTGTCTTCTCTAATTTGTTGTTTTTCCTCATCTCAAGATTTCCTTTTCACTGAATCACAGAAAAATAGAACTGGAAAGGACCTGAAGAGGTCATGTAGTCCATCCCCTCCCCCTAGGCAGGATCAACTGTCCCTATATCATTCTTGACAGATGTTTGTCTAACTGGTTCTTAAAAACCTCCAGTGATGGAGATTCCTGAACATCCCTCGGCAACCTAGGCCACTCTCCTTAACATTAGAAAGGTTTTCGTAATGTCTGACCTAAGCCTCCCTTACTGCAATTTAAAGCCATTACTTTCTTCTCTCTTCCATTAGGGCCATATTTTGCCCTTGCTATTTGTCCAGGCTCACTGTAAAATCAGTAACAGTTCTGTTATCATAAAGGGCATCATTCTCCCAAAAGTTTGTTCTCTAGTTCTACTTAGTTATTCTCTCTTTCCTTACCTTATGCAAAATATCTTGCTACCCTTTCACTATCCTGCAACTTTCTGGATGCAGGTAACCACATCCCTGATTTCGTAAGGAGGCTTTACTACAGGTTTCCAGTTGGCCATCCCAGGGGTAGGACTATACTATATAATTTATAGAAGAAAATTCAGTCTTAATTTAATTTAAGAAGAAAATTCAGTCTTACAGACCTATTCATTCTTCACCTCTGCAATTATCAGTCAAGACTACCTTCAGTGTTGACAGCAGCGTGTAAAACTGATGTAAAAGAGATAAAAATCAGGCCTTTTTCATTTTCCAGCTTACTCTTATAAAGTATTATGCTGCACTTTATGCTTCTCATATTCATCCTATTCCTCTGGCTGTAGTGTGCATACATACATTCCTGCCAGATACCGATCAGTGTTGCATACAGTCATCATTCTCAGCGTGTCTACTATATCCAGCTACACAGAATGGCACTTAGAGCAACTGGTTCTGTAATTTCTGTGCCTCCTTCTGTCTTTGGATGGAAAATGCACAATAGTCATAAATATAATTCATATCATATGTACGTGTCCAAAATTGGGGAAAAGTCAGCTATTGCAAGTTTGAATTGATTCTGTCATCTAGAATCTAATTCATAATCTAATCGTCACCTCTCCTTAAGGCTATTTCTGGAATGGAAATTATAGTGGATGAAAAGAGCGAGAGTATTTTAATGCAATTTCATGTCATAGATAACCATCATTGTTCTTTAAGCGGGACATTTACAGCTTAACCGTCATGTCTGTAAAACAGGGGGTGTGCTGGAAATTATGTAGGCAGGTAAAAAAAGGCATCCTCCTTCCTTCCCTGGTCAGTGCTTAAGGTGACTATTCTGCTTCTCCAACCCCACTGCTTCCTTTTCCCTTGCAGGAGGTGAATTAGAAACCAGCAGTTTGTAAACATCTCTTAAACACTGGTGTTTCACCTAAGGTGACTGTGCATCCATACTTTACTAACCATATCCCTTTTGCCCAGCTAAATTTTGAGAATTTCTTACATTGGACCAAAGACTTCAGAATGTCTGACCAGGAAATTGCAGAGCATCTGGGTATCGCAGTTATTTTAAAAATACGTTTGCAGATTCATTGTGCAATACATGTGCAAAGAATCAAGTATTTCCTAGACTTAAACAGCGTTTTGCTTGGTGTATGGCATCCAGCTCTGGTCACAGTGTCCCTGCAGTAGCTTTTCCAGTGCTTAGCAGAAGAAAAGATTCTCCACATACATTGCAGATGTCACTCCTGCTTATACAGCTTCATATGGGAGTTGCTGTTTCTTCATTTTTGCAGCACCCTATTGTTGATAGTATGTTCAAATTGACAGGATCATTTTTAATTCCAGTCCTGTGTTCCAATATATCAGAAGTCCCTCCCAGTGTGGCATCACTGTGTGAATTTAGTATGCATATCATTTCTTCTCCATCATCCAGGTCATAAGAAAATACTGAGTACTGCCAGAACCAGGACAGACACCATTCATGCACACTTCCATTTTGACAGTGAACAGTTGATAACTGTCCTCTGAGTGTTGCTCTCCAACTATTTTTGCATTCGTTCTGCAGTAGTTTCATCTAAACTATGTTTTCTTGGGTTATAAAGAATATCATGCAAGGGAGTGTCGAGGGACTTGTAAAGTCAAACCACCTACTGCTTTTTCCCTGTCCGTAAAGCCAATTACCCTTAGAGGGAGATCAGATTGGTTTGACACAGTTGGTTCCTAACAATCCTTGTTGTCTGTTGCTACCTTGTTTTCTTGCAGGTGCTTAAAAACTGTTTGATTATTTTTGTCAGTACTTTCCCAGGGGTTGAAGTTAAGTTGACTGGTCTATAATTTTGCAGATCTTTCTTTTTAAAGATAGCCAGTACATTTGCTCTTCTCTCATCATTTGATACCTCCTCTGTCCCCACAGATAAACACTAACACCTTTAAGACTCTTCCAACCAGTCTGAAAGCATCCAGCCCATCTAAATATAATATTTTCTTTCCCTTGCCTAGGCTGAAATCTTTAGCTTTGCCAGATAATGTATCTGATAAGAGACCCAGAACTCAAATTTCCGCCTATGTCCAGTGCGTTTTCTGAAAGCTCCAGTCTGCAGTGGTGCGGGCACGATGCGTGGGAAGGCAATTACTGCAGCAGTGAGGGCAGGCAAGCCCTCCTAGTGGATTCTTTCCCCACAAGAAGGCTGCATGCTGTGGTATATGCATGGACACTCTGGTTTGGCAGCTATCCGTAAATAAGATCTAACCCTTAGTGAAAAGGTTTTTAAAGATGCCCAATGCTTGCATGAATTTGACATCTGGAAGTCTTTCAGTCACCTTCTTAACTACTATCCCTTTGATGCAGTGCCATTTTTTTAATAATTGTTTAAAAAATCTCAAATTAATAAAATGTTTCTGTTTATTGATCCCTACTAAAGTCAGAAGTTGGACATTGACTTACGCAAATAAATTTTAATCATAATTAAAGGGTAACTCAAAGCTTCTGGTTTTGTTTTGTATTATATTATTCCGTGTGGGAAGTGAAAGAAGGAGGAGTTGTAATTTTTGTCCAGTCTTCAGTAGATCCATAACAAGAATAATGCCATTAAAACTGTTCTTGTGTATTCCACAGAAAACTGTCATCCCGAATGTGATCAGATACATTTATTTACTATGCAGTATAATTTTGTGTCCACTTAACATCAGTCATTTCTGTGTGTTTCAAGAGCATATTATATATAATTTGAGTACTCTTAATGAATTCAGCACCTTTTCTGAAGTAGTTTGTTCAGTAAAATACCAAAAGATGAAAATGTATACACCTTAGAATTCAAGAATTAGATTTAAATTATTGACTTTGAGCAAGCCCAAATAGCCCTTTATCTTTTCTCCTGTCTGAGGACTCAAAGAACGGCTGTCACTTAAAAGTGAAGCCTTTTAGTACATTTTTGCAGTCTTTTTTGGCTAAGATCAAGAATCAAAACAGTATAAAGTTATAATAAGTACCAGTCATCTCAGTGTATTGGGATTGGGTATTAGTGTATTATTAGATTCTGATAACGCTGTACCAGACTACAAGAAGCCAGGTCAAAACTGTAAGATCCATGGTGTACCTTCATTCTGTATAAAGACCGCTCTT